AACACCGCGTTTCCAGTGGACGAATAATACAAGATAAACAAATCGAGAGGAGAAAAAAAAAGATGTTCTTTTAAAGGGAACTTCAAAGAAAACATCGATTGTACTTCTTTCGCTTGCGCTTAATAAGGAAACAATTTGAGAAACTCGCGACCGGATAATATCCGTCTGCGCTTTCCAGCGTCGATAACAGGATCTCGCTTCCAGAATGGGGGAGAAAAGGTCAGGCGAAGTAACTATATAATCATCTCCATCGGTTCTCCCAGATCATTATCTCAATTAGGCTGATGGTAATGATCACATTAACTTGTGCACGTAGCCGGAGAAAAGACGGGTCAGGAGTATAGTCTCCCTGATTGGGGTTACCTTAACTTGATTACCTGAAAAAGGAGTTACAATCTTCTTAAAGGCTTCAAGCAAATCGATACGAAGCGTCTCTCCGACGCAAACACGCCCGGAGAATGGAATTGAGACATGTAAACGGAATCTGAAAAAAATGCCTCGTTTTGTGTCATAAATTCACGCGCAGTTGGGTCATTACTTTCATTTTGGGCTCATTATCGAGAGAAAAGCAGCCTCTAACAGCTGCTAATACCCTCTCCGAGGAGTGCTACGGTTTTAATAACCTGTTAACTCCTCTCTCATCTCCTTTTAGGGCCACATAAAAAAAAACGCAGTGATCCAGTCGCCCACAAAAACAAAGCCAGTCTCACCTCTCTGAACGTAGACAGAAGTATTTTGCATCAATTTGTCCTACTTTCATGGCGACATACGCATTCCTCTTGCAAAACACATATATAAACACCTAAACATTGTTTTTTTTTTAAAATGGGAGTGCAGGAGGGCACCAGCCTCCAAAAACGTTGAGTCTATCGTGAAAGGATTCGGCCCATTCTTAAACTGGTTTCCCACAATGTGTTAAACCTGTATAGCTGGCGGTAGACATTCGATTCAATATGCAGCTATGGAGAACATTATACAGCTATTTTCGTAATGTAAACGCAACGTGTACGGTGAGACTGCAGGAGATGAGGTGGGGTGGGTATTCCGTTTGCTTTTCACGTCTTCCACGGGTGGCGGCGGCTGGCACAGGGGGGTAATTGATTACCAGT